TTATAAGAAAAAAGATATTAGTATTTTTAAATATATGCTTTCATAGTATAATGGCTGAATTGCGCGACCAACTTTCTTAGTATATAGGCTTCGAACCTAGTGAAATCCGTCTTCCAATTGCAGAGGAGGATATACAAGAATTTTGTAAAATAATAGCAGATCAGGAGAAAATGACAGATATTGTAACAGATGAGTATCGATTTTTGCTACGCTATGGGCATAATGGTAAGGGCAGTAACCAGATCCATATTGGCTGGTTAGTAGCATGTACAGTATCTCAAGCTGAAAAGGTCTTAATTAATCTGCCCGAAGATTTATCAGAAAAGGTATTAGCTTATATTGAAAAAAGATTCGAAGAAGTCCCACTAGTGCCAGTACTCATACGGTAGATATTTAGATATTATCTCCGGCCTATCTGGTACCTTTGGTACCTCTTCTCTATTTATATATTTTTTGTAGGCAGGATATCTGACTTTTTCTTTTGGCATGATGCTCTCCAAATTCCATAGCTTTTTTACAATGATTAACCATATAATTACAATTAATAGAAAAAGCAATATCGAGCAGGTGAACACCGATGATAGTAATTTGTCTATATCAATAGAGTTCCCCGAGCCACCTAATGAAATCTTTTCTTTGCAAATAGTAACAGGTATGATTTGTTCTGAAGAAGCGCTAGAGCTCTCTGGCTCATTATTTTTTTCGCCACCACTTTTTGCATATGAATTGGTTCTCTCGGGACCATCCGGCTGATTATTCTTATCAAAGTATCCTGGGAGGAATGAATTAATCATAGATTGAAGCGATTTCACCTCCTCTGATTTTGCATAATATTCAGCTTTATATTTGGCGAGAGATGTCTCCATGCAAGCATATTGGGAAAAAAGTTTAAAATTTTCAACCTTCAACCGTTTGGCCTCATCATTGATCTTCATGTATTCGTTCCGCAACTTAGCATTATAATCTCGTATCTTGGATGAGTCTTGTAAGATGCAACGTATCTCTTTTTCAAGATCATATGTTCCCATTTATTTATATTAGCCATAAACATGTAAAAAAAAACTTTCAAATTTTATGTTAGAGAATAATCACAATAAATAAAAAATGAACATGAAGATTATCAATTGTTTTATTATTATTTTAGATAGCATATTAGAATGTATTCTACCTACCTAAAACAATAAATTATGTTTTCTAACGTCCCTTCTCATTCTAAAATAATAAATATTAAATTCTAATTTTTTTTATCCATCTGAAACGATAAATATTAATGCCTAATATTTTTTATGCATCTAAATACATTGTTTAAAAATATCAGAAGATTATGTCTACCTCGATTTTAAAAACCCATTATCGGCGGGGTGCTACCATTTTAACACCTGGACAGATTGAAGAAATTAGACATCTCAAAAATAAGGTTCTGGTGTACATGATAGTAAATGAGTACCATATTAATAAAGATCGTGTTCATGATATATGGAACGATTGTGAGCATTCACAGCAAAATAGAAACCACTTTTTCGAGGAGCTTAGGAAGGTGCAAACCATCTCATCAGTCTCTCCTTCAGAGAATAATTCCCAAGAAAAAGAAAATAATTATCCAATTGTAGGATCTTTAAAGTTGTTAGACGAGTCGATTTCAAGGAAATCATCTAGTCCCTCTAAGACTCCTTCAATTCCTGAGTCTATTGAGATAAGTTGTCCCTCCAGGACTATGTACAGGAAAAGCAAAAAAAGAAAAAAAAACCATCAAAACCCAAACCCGTTCAAAGTTCTGACTTATCTGAGATTTCAACTAAAGGTTTCTGCCAAAATTCCTCACTAGATATCTCATATGATTTAATTGCCTCAATTTGAAAAGATCGTATCGAAGCAGAAGAGGCTATACATGAATCAGAAAAGTACCTAGCTAACGGCTCACCTTTTGGCCCATTATATTCATCAAAAAGTACTTCGCTAAGCCAGAATTCATAGTTAACAAGGAAAAAAAGATCGGAGGTTTTTATTAATCTCAATTAATTTAGCTTTGGAAATGAGAGTATCATACAATATTTTTTCAAGCTCCTCATAGCTCATGCGTTTTTTTTTAATACATCATACCTATTTAACTCCTGTGAGTCCTGTGATATGTTATCTAGAGTCGAAAAATCATCACAATCTGGAGTTATGTTTGCACAATTTACCTCAAGCTTGTTCTTGACTTTATGCATAGTAACTGGGATAATATAATCTTTTCTATTAAGAGGAATTTTTAGATTATTGGTTTTCCAATCTAATGCACAATTGTATTTTTTCAAAAGCTGATTAGAAAATATTAACGTCAGCTTCTGATATTTCACAACAATAAAATCTTCATGAATAGTATAGCCTGGGGCTAGAGTAATGGGTAATTTGCGAACAACTCCAACAGATTCAACTGGAACAGTGGCAATACCACTAAGATTATGTGTTTCAGATTTATCAATTTTAGCTCCCACATGTATAACAATATTTTCTGTTATAATGGAAGGTTCAGCCCCAAAGTCCACTGTCATGGCTGGAATCTTTAAGCGCTTAATTTTACACTTTACAGTTGTGACACTTGTTTTTGGCTCCTTCTTCTTAACGAAATCAATCTCCATTGGACCATCCAAATCTTCTTCCTCATCTAGATCTAGCGATACAACCTCGGTAATTAGAGAAGTATTGCTTAGAGATTCTATCTTTTCCTGGATTAGAGGTGCTTGATTCAGTATATTAGCTTTAATAGGGTCTTGGGAGAAATGATCAGGAAAAATTAATTTAAGTTCACTTTGGAGGACTTTACGGTGATATTACCTCCAGAATTGAAGGAATCCTCTAAACTTGTATCAGAGTCAGAACTATCATTAGAAGAAGTATCAGAAGAAGTACCTAAATCTGAATTCGAATCTACAGTAGCGATATTAACCTTACTCTTTTTAGACTTCTTACTTTTTTTTTTCTTCTTTCGAGGGCAGTTTCGAGAATTATGTCCAGATCTTCCGCAGGTAGAGCATTTGTGACCTGATGATTTCTTAACAGCACATCTAACAGCAGTTTTTATGACACTATTTAATGTTAATCCTGCTAAACTATCTGAAATATCTTCTATAGGATCATGAT